TCTGTAGTAAATATTCCTTTAAAGCCTTTCCTCTACTCTCCCTGCTTATTTTCAGTATCAGCTATTCTTATCACAGCAACAGCATGACACGAGTTTCTTGTCAGCCTATAAATTCCAGGTCTCACTTAATCACTGCCTATTAGGGTTTTAAAAGTATTAGAAAAATTTACATTTTGTTTAAGTGGTCTGTGCTTGTCAGACTATCAATATTCTGTTATAAAATTGTCCTCTTCCATGTTTCCTGTTGTCTTGGTCTTTGTGCCATCTGTTAAAGCTTTTGGTAATGATCAGTCTTCAGAGTTGTGACAGAAATTATGTCAAGTTTGGACAAACACTGCAGAACTTATCAAAATTATCTCCATTCGGTGAGGCAAGGCTAGATGCTCTTTGAAGTCCTGTGATGAATTGCTATCAATCCCATTTGATGCATCTCTATTGGTAAGGTGTCAGATGTCTGATTAGGGAAAAAACAGGTTAAAAGTCATAAACTTCATGAAGTATAGTACAGCTCAGCCTTTGCTTTTAGCAGCCAAACCCTTGATTTCACAAAAGAATGAAATCATCCAAACTGCCAGCAATAGGGAACAAGTAATTCAGTTATATTGACTCTTCTGGAGCTTATTTTTCATTTCAGAACAATATTCTTTCCAAATATAATTTAATCAAATTAAACCAATAATTTAAAGAAAATTAACAAGTAATCTTCTAGTGTTATCAAAATCTATTATTAATTTAAATCAATGTATTGAATCTATTTAATTTTTGTGTACTTTTTTAAAAAATATTTTCATTCTTGTTTGGAATGAATGATGGGGAAATTTAAAAAACTATTTTGAAAGGAGTCAATCTTATGTGACATTTCTTAATATACTCTTCCTGTCGCATAAAATGCCATTCAGTTCAATGAATATGAGACCAAAAATGTGTAAGTGGTTAAATTTTGTCTTCAACATTATACCAAGCAGAGGATTATAAGCTTTCTCTTTTCCCTTCGGAATCAATCTACATTTCCGTGAAACAACCTTGTCTTAAAACTTTTTTTGAATGTAGAAAATTATTCAGTTCACTGGAAGCTTGAAATAGAGATTTAGAAGAAATATAGGATTGGCTATTTAGGATCTTGTTGATATCAGCTGGTCTCAGTAGATAACTTGAAGAATAATGAAGGTAAGACACATATATAGAAAAAGCGCATCTGGAGTGGGTAGGAGACAGCACCTCCCAGAGTTTTTATCAGAGTATGTTTATGGTTCTGATAAGGGCAAATCCACAGTTAAAGTTTTAACTTTAGACAGCAGATTTTTCTTCCCCTCCAGCTGTCACACGAAACTACTATTTTGTTTAAAGCTAGCACTGAATTTTAAAAAAATAAAGTCATGAGGGAGGAGAAATGCAGGGAAAAGACTTTTTGCTTCCGAGGACAAGTAGTTCTATTTATCATCTTCAGCCAACTATTTCACCACCAGAAATATCTTCGAAGACCTTTGAAGACATTTGGGGTTGAGTTAGACTCTAGTTATGCCAAGAGCCACATAGCTATAAGACTATAAGTGAGGGCTAATCACCTAAGTGAGGGCTGATAATTTCACCTGGTACCTGGAAACCCATTCCATGGTCCCCCTTCTCCTCCACAGGAGAAGACTGTTCTTCCCACACAGTATCTGCATTTCCCACCAGTGCAAGAGGCAACGTAAGGATCTCTTTCTCTCTTACTGTCCCCCCAGGAAAAGCAGCAGCAATAGGAGAACACTACATCCCACAGGCCATGGCTCGGCATGAACGAGGCGCTGTCCATCCACCCAGCTGGCTGCTGGCTGACAGCAGACCCCTGTGGATGATACAAGTGGCACACAGCTGGTCCAAACACAGGGAGAGTTCCTGCAAACCACCCACCAACACCACAGTGAGAGCCGACTGCCATGGGCATGAGCAGGCTGCCAGTCCACTGCGTACTCAACACAGAGCTTTTTCTGCACAGTAAACATAACCACTCTACGTGTGTCTGAGGAGTTCAGGGTGTTTACAATAGTCCTGATCTTGCTTCGTTAGTGTTCTTAATGATCAGACTTTGGCTTTTAAATCTAACTGTTGCTGTATGCTTAAAGACAGTGATTACCAGATCTCCATTTCACATGTGAGGAAACCAATTCACAGGGCCATTAAGTGACCTTGCAAAACAGGAAAAAGTGTTGAAGCCCGGTAGCAAAACCAAGAGAAGAATCTAGGTCTCCTGATAAATGGTTTAACAGGCCATGCTGTCACCACATTAAAATAACGTTTCCACTCAGACTTCAACACAAACCTCTCCTCACAGGAGCTGTGTCAAATTCTGCTACTTTTCGGAGTTCAGGAGTTTGTACATGTGGTTGAAATGTCATTATCATTATTTTTCCCTCTGAGAAAACTCTGAGAGGGTTTTTCCTCTCACCAGAAATACACCCCACCACAGCTACAAAAGATTTTGGACAGCCACCATTCTATGTACAAGCAGCTGAGATGCCAACTCACTGGTCTCCATGAGCTTCTCTAGCAGCACTTGTGCAGAAGTAGTAAAACCAGTCCTGTAGTGCTAGCAAAGCAAGAAATTGGCCAAGGCCTGCCTATACCACAGGCTATGGCTGAATTTGAGCCTGTTCCTGAGGCACCTCAAGACTCTGGAATCTCCTAAATCTACCACAGCATTGACATTGCAACAGTTTCACTGACAGTCTCAGAACACAAGAGGTCTTTTTTTGTCACTCAAAAGTGACTTCAATGTCAGGCCTGAAGGGGTCGGGTAGTTGGACTGGATGATCATTGTAGTAGATACAACTGAGCTATTCTAATAATATTAGATTATGTTTAAAAGAGCAAAGGGAGAAGGAGCAGTGCTTGCCATGGCTGCCAGTCCAGGGCTTAGGAGGAGGAGGAGAGCAGATCTGGAATTCAGAGTTGAGAAGTTTCAACAAGGAGCCTCACACAAACCCTATATTCAGCTGGAAGGTAAAGAAGAGACACAGTCTGTCCCCATTCTCCTTTAGAGTTGTGGCACCTAAAGGAGGAGAGGTAATGTGGGATGTCTTGGGGACATGATTTGCCTATCCCTTACCATCTTCTCTCAAAAGCTTCCCATAGACCTTGATTTTCCTCACTATAGGACATCACTGCTGGCTACATTGTTCATGTGTCATTAAAATCCATCCTAAGAGAAAATCATGAAGAGAATGGATGTGAGGGGAAAAGGGAGAAAGATGAGAGGTAAGGACAAAAATATACCTCTTGCACGAACATTTGAAATATTTTGAAATCATAAGGAATGTTTGAAAACTGTAAACCTGCATTCTAGCTAATGATTCTAGAATTGGTTAAAATATTTGCCACAGACAAAACATAGGAAAGAAAGATACTGAAAATAAATAAAAAGAAGAAAAAAAACCAACAAGTGTTTTGTCATTCTCTTTTTTTTTTATTATGTAATCAAGAGATGGACCAAGAGGAAATCAAAGGACAGGTTAATGTAGGAAATAGTAGGAAAGTGAGCCATAGCTATCTAGACCCTCACAAAAATAGTCTTAGGAGGGTAACAAAAGGAAAGAAAAAAGCAAACACATATACACCATTATAATACATACATGCTAACTTTAAGGGCTAAATTTGGGGTTATTTCCACTGCCTAGGTCAGTTAATAAACTATCATTGTTAGTGACTGATGGCTTAGAAAATCTCTGCCTTTGCAGCTGTGTGACTGTCAAGATGAAGCCTCTCTTCTTACAGAAATACAGAAAAAAATTAAATTTCTACACTGAAAGAAGGGCAAAAGGGCATGCAGGATTATAAAAATTACAGCATCACAAAGCTGGGGTCAACCAGTTTTTTCAAACTGACCACAGGCATATTTCTTTATTGCATTATTAAAGGAAATTTTATTTTCATTACTCAGGAGTACTCACCTGGTTATAACTCATCTTTTGTACAGTTCCTTATCAACAACTTCACTGCTTCTAATAACTTCCCCTTATATCATCTGACAGTTATTTCAATATCCTGCAAATATTTGACCCTTTTTGTGCAGGCTTTACTGACAACATCCCTTCCAATACCTCCATTTTTTCTGTGAACAAGCTGATTTCATCTGAGCAATGAATACTCCAAAGTTTTTTGGGTTTTTTTTCAGAATTTTTAGTAGGATTCAAACAGACTGTGAAGCAAGAGCCCAAAAAAGTTGCATGATTCCCCTTCGTTGTTCATTTTTGCCCTGCTGATCTGCACTGTCCAAACATGCCTATAAATAGCAAATGAAAGAGACAAAAAGAGGGAAGAAAGCATAGTGAAAGCTAAAATATACACCAATACAAAAGTGTTAAGTGTTGGTGCATTTCACTAAGTGGTTTAATATGAAAAACTCACTGACACAGGCACAGAGCTTTCTCCTCTTTCCTGAAAAAGTGGGAAAGGTATTTTAGTACCGTCTCTGCTTTCTTCAATCCAACATCAATAACTGAATTTAAACACTGATAAACAGAGAAAAAAACAAGCCTTGCTTTTCCTCCTATCTTTATAATTTCTTTTTTTCCCCACCCTGTTAAACAAACCACTGGGCGCCAAGGCAGGAATGTATCAGTGTCCACACGACTGGACGCATAAGCTGTCCCTTGGGGTCTCCTCACAGTGGAAAAAAAGCTACCTTGTAGAAGTTTCTTTCTTCCACTCAAGTTTTTTTCCCTCGTATGCCAGCAGCCTGTCGTCCCTAGAGGGCAGCCGATGAACACAGCTCCGGGGCACACAGCGCCTTCCCTGAGGCTGCACGACTTATCACTTTTAACCAGCTTGTGTCTTCTGTTTCTAACTGCACATCCAGGCAAAACACTTTGACTGAAAAAGTTTGGGTCATTTCCCTTGCTTTTTTCCAGCTCTTCATGGATGTTCACCCAGAGAGCTCCCATAAACCGCCCCTCCTCCACCCTGCCAAATTTAGGGACAGTCTTCTGCACCTCTTCTAACCAGTACCCAAAGCCCCTTACCTTACGATGACAAACATGACCAGGGAGTTTCCCACCAATCCAACAACGAAGACCACCGAGTAGACAGCAGTGATGATGATGGGAATGGCGGGGGAGATGCTGGTGTGGTTGTGCTGGCCATCCCCAAGGGCCCCAGTGGCATTGCTGTCGTAGTCTGCCCAGCCGAGGAGCCAGCTGCTGCTGGTGCTGAGGGGTCGACAGGGCCCCGGGGAGCAGGTGGAGTCCAGCTCTTCACGGAAAATCTGTACAGGGGCATCCATAGGGGTACAGTCCCCACAGGTTAGGGGGAGACCAGGAGGAGTGTGCAGACAGCAGGAGGCAATTAAGCTGGAAAAGAGGGAAGAGAAAGAAAGAAACAGAAGTGCTATCACAGCCACCAAACACTAAGACCTTTGAGACTTGTATGTGTTAAGGGGAGCTCTGCTGTGATGGGAACTGTAATCTGCCGAGCAGAGATTTAAGCAAATCACATTCATATTGAATAATTGCAAGTTTTACATCTTGCTATGTAATGCTGCTCCTGCAAGTGCACAAGGAAAGTTTTCCTCCGCTTTCAGGGATTTCACAGAGAAGCAAACCAGATGGGAACACTTCAGATCCACCCCCACACTTTAACCCTGTCTTTCCCATCCTCCATATTTATGTCAAAGTGTATCCTAACAAGGGCTCCTGAATGCCTAAGCTCTGCTATAAAGGGGAAGGAGACAGAGAAACCCACCATCTCTCTGCACATCTGCTTTAACATCCTGCCCTGGGTTATTTTTTCCTGATCCCATAACTGCGTTCAAAGAAGAGACACATTAATGACAAAAAATACCTCTTTCAGTCCAGGAAAAGGAGCGGAGTCCTCAAACAGATGTTCTTTGCAGGAAAAGAAAAGAATAAAGCAGCTGTGCTTGGCTCCTAAAAGTACCACCGCCCTTCTAGGACTTTTGAACCTGAAGCACCTGTGCCCTCGGAGAGGCGTGCTGGCAGCAGAGCTGGTTGCCGGGCATGAGCTGAAACGTGTAGCAGCAGCAATTGCTGCTGTTCCAGCTCCTACCACTTCGCCTTTTCTCTCTCACGCTCCCTCTGCCTCCCTCCCGCTCTGCCGGGGCTCCAGTAGCACTCTGCACTGATGCACACGTTCTCCTCTGTCTCTGTCCCTGCAGCTCAGAAGCTCACATGACTTCTTTCTAGACAGTGAGAGGCAGATAAATTAAAATAAAAGCAAGAAATAAGTTCTGCAATGAATAAATGCTTATTTTTAACACACTTTTCCAAGTTGCCTTTCCTCATTCCCCCTGCATTCGCAGGCCTCAAGCAATGATCGTTTCTGTCCTATTGAACCCCACAGGATTTCAGACTAGTAGATGCTGACTGAAACAGGAATATTCGGTTTAGATGCCTTGACTGATCCATCTGCTCTTTCATGCCCCAGCTCCACAATTCTGCATCCAAAACATTTCTCACTGGGTGTCTGTGCCCCTGTTCCTTTGCAACTGCAACTGGAAAGAAAGTCAGAAGCTGTCTACGAGAGAAAAAACGGGGACCGCGATTACTGTCCTTAATTTATTCAAGCTGTCCCACACCATGTGAGAAGCCAAGAATTCCCTGTAGCATTGCCAGAGCTCTATTCTCCTTAGGCTCCAACTGCAGCCAGAAATGGAGAGAAGGCATGTGCAGAAATCACATCCCTCAGAGCTTATCCCTAATATACTCCCTCAAGCAGGAGTTGGTAAGGCACCAATAGGTGTTCAAGATATCCCTTAATTTGCACACAGACCTTGAAATCCCCACCAGGAGTCTCTCTAAATGGCAAACTGGGGAAAGAAAGGCAAGACCCGGAGTTGTTCCTACTCCTTTGGAAAAGGCTGAGAACAACCAGACTGGCTACATCCCAAAGCATGAAAACCAGCAGAAAAACCAGTCTCTGAAGAGAATAGCAGACTGATGTGCTTCTGTGGGTATTTGATGAAGCCTAGACAGTTAGGAAAGGGGCTTTGGGTTTTCTTCATCCTTTCCCAATCGTGAAACTTTGCTTCATGCTCCTATGTTGAGTGTCTATGATCAGGCTGAGTTTTCTATTCTAAAACAATTTTTTTCTAAACCTATAATTAAGATGAGAAATTAGGTCAGCTCAGAGTCAAAAGTCATGTGGAAGGTTTAAAAGGTACAGAATTCCCTCTGTTAGAGGAAGAGACTTGTTCAAATGTGATTACGCTTTTGACTGTGGTCACTATTTTCTCAGAACATCAGCAACTGCTCACTATCATCTGTATAGAGCTGTCTAAAAGCTTCACACTTAACGAAGATGGATAAAAAGGCAAAATAAACATGTGACAAAAACATCCCTGAGCCAGGGACACAGACTTGGGATAGTAATAATTCTTTTGAACATGAAGCGAGATCCTAACAGAAAATGTACTCCAATCCTGTTTTTATCCTCTGCAATTCATTGGTTCCTGCCTATGTGTCAGAGACTGAAGCGGTTAATGATTTACACATTCTAGGATTGCCAGGGGACTATTGCAGGCTGGGAAGAGGCAGCTGGACCCATCCCCACCACCAGTGCTACTGAAGGTGTTGAGTCCTGAAAAGGAAGGAAGAGCTGTGTTTACCATGCCTTTCACATGAACTCTGCACTGGGCTGTCGGAGGCGTTGGAGGTTCATGGCATGGCCCATCAAAGCCCATACCCCACTAACCCTGAAAGGGGAAAACCCTTTTACCGTGCCCCTCACAGGAACTCTGAGCAGGCCCAGGAGACTCGGAGGCTTGTGGCATGGCCCATGACACTATCCATGGATATAATAACTCATAATTTCTTTGAGTGTGGGGGCTTCCCTCCCCCACCCCTAACAGATCAAGACCACTGCTTCAACAAACAGATATGGAAGCTGCAACTACCAAGTTTCATCTCTGGACCCCATGGGCGGTGACTATATACATTTTTCCATTCTCATCTTTTTCTAACTCTCCCTTACTCTTATCCTGTCTTTCACTTTCTCTCCCTTATGCATTTTCCCTAAAGGTCATCTTTATATCATAATGCTATAGATGATAGATACAGATGATAACACCCAAAATGGCAACATACCTGTTTATCTTTGAAACAAAATTTTTCTAAAATAAAATCTACATATATATATAACATATATATGTTTTCAAACATCAATTATTCAGTGTCATTTCATTCTAATCCACCCTAAGGGATTTATTAATGTGGGTTACCCCCCAACTTTCTGGGGTGGCTCACAACACCATGTACTGAAAGGAACTACTACTGCTATATCCTCTCATACATAATTTTACTTGACAATTTTCAACTTCTTATTAACATCTTCCCCAGACTTCTCCATATTCTGGAATTAAAATGTACAGAAGAGCTTTAAGACAGCAATATGTTAGCACTCATTAATAACTTAGCTCTTATGAGCAATCATTTTGTCATTCTGCAATTGCTACAGGTGGATCAGAAACTTTTATACGAGTAAGAAAAGCCTATTATCACTGCATAAATCAGCAGCACAGATGATGTAAAATAGCAAGATAAACAGCAGACTTAAAGTTTTTACAAGCACCAGTGGTTGGAGAGTAAGCTGCTCATTCTCTAGCTAAATTCTGTGCTGAAACTGTCCACCAATCTTAAAGTTAGCACAAAAAAGATATGATCACAACTACAGTCACTGACCCTTAATGGAGTTTGCATTGCAACTACATGAGACTGGAATAAGGTGGAGTTTGACAACAGCACTGCAAATTATAGGTGAGCCAGAGGCATCATGTAAGCTGCCTAATGCAACTGTGTGCGTTTGTTCCATGTCGGAGGCTCAACTTTGGCTCTTGGTTAGTGTATGTCTTTGCAATACAGTAGAAAACAAGTACTTGGCCTAGGGAAATGTGTTTCTTCAGAAAGTGAAATCAAAATTGTATGCATCGGTAAAAAAAAACTTTTCCTTTCTTGGGATTGCTTTCTTGATGAAAACCTGAATATCTGGATTATCAGAGGAAACTGGAAACACCTGCAATGATATAAAAAGAAAAACTAAGGGCGGAGGTAGAACCGCTTTCCATCACCATTTTCTTCTCCTTCAACATGCAGCTGCTAAGTGCCTCTGTGTCCTTCCCAACAGTCCTGTGGAAAAGGGCAGGAGTCCCCTGAAGTCACAAGGGGAGAGAAAGGTGGTGTTTGCAGGTGACCTAATCCAGATTGTTTCCACACGCTGATGCCAGAAGTCCCTGTTCCTTCTGAGGGCTGACATGAAACAGAAGGTCTTGATATTTCAAAGGAAAGCAATGAAATATTTAGAGAAGAAAGACATCATAAAAACATAGTCTCACCACTCAGCTGAAATTTCCCCCCAGTACTGTTCTTACAAACATGTGGCTTTGCATGCCCCCCAATTTTTTGCTATGATAGTTTAGACCCAGTGTTGACCTCACTGGACTTTGGAAAACACAACAGAAATCGCTTGGACCTTTTAAATTTAGAAAACAAAACTATATACCAAATTCTATGTTTAGGGAAGATTGTTTAAGTTGTGAATTCCAGCCCTCAAAAGTAAAAAAAAAAACACATTCAACTGCCTGATACCTGGGAACTACAACACATGCATTTACTCAAGGTTTTATTTTCCCCAGGCTCTGTACCTCAATCAAAAATCAGCTACACAATATTGTTACATTTAGGTGGAAGGTCAACCATAAACTTGGAATTTTGTATCTGTAAAGTGTTTTCTTTTGCAATCCTAGTGAAATTCTTTGAATGAATAAGGAATATGGGGGAAGGGAGATATGTGTTATTTAACAGTAGCAGATAGGAAGGGCTTCAGCATTGTCTTTTTTTTTTTTTTTTCACCAAAAGCTAACGAGCTGCCTGCATCAGCACACTGCTTCAAAACTTGAACAATGTGCTGGGACATTAATTCAGCCCTGACTCAGGGGTAAGAATGAACCACACTGAATCACTGGCACGACTGTGCAGCACCCGCTCACCGTGCTGCAGCAGAGACTCAGCTCCATCACTTCAACACATGCAGGTTTTGAGTGAAAGCTGCTAAGGTGTTAACATCATTTCCCAAAAGACCACAACACTTTATGGGTTTAAGTCAAATATGCAGCATAGGGCAGATCTTGAAGTTCAGCCATGAACTGTAACAGAGAATACTTCAATACAGGACCATTAGCAGAGGTCACCTTCTATTCTAGAGGCTGGGAGGAAGACCAGATGAATTAAGTGGAGCACACTATCAAGATGCTTTTTCAGCTCATAATTGGTTTTACTACCTGATTGACCAAAGGCTACAACAATAGTGAACCTGAGTAAAGGTAGGAGATAATGGAAATACTTTCTGGTGGCTCCAGTTGCCAGGGCAACAAAGTTCTCCTGTCTCTCTGCATCTAGAAATGTTAGCTCTCTGTGTGAACACAGCTTTTGGGAAATGGTGTGTTTTATCCTCTTCAAAGACCAGCAAGGGAGAGGGAGGGGGAAAAGAGAGATGGGAAAGTATATGTAATACTACCTAAACACCTTTTGTACACATATTTTGGTTACAGTAGACTAAATATTCAGCATAAGACTTGTGCTTTTTTTTTTTTTTTACTTGTAGATGGCACAAGTTACACTTAAAAAAAAATGTGCTACATTTAAAAAAAAATTACTGGTACAGAACTCCATATTCACCTTCAGAAACCAACACAATAAAATGCTGAACATTGGGACAGCCTCTGTGGCCTGTCCCAAGACATGTCCACCTTCCACGGAAAAGTCCTTGAGAGGGTATGGAGAGACCAGTCACCCTCAAGCTGTCAACTGCAGAGAGGGACTGGGACAAGCGTTGGAAAGTTTCTGACTTTAGGACTTTAAAAATGAGGGGTCTTATACAGAGAAGAGCCAACTGGCAGCGAGGAAGTCAGTGGCTGGGATTAAGGAGTTCAGAAGATACCAACAGGAAGCCATATGCTTCACTCTGCTGTCACCCTGCTTCCCCCCAGCAGCACTTCCCTGGCAGTAGGCCATGGTACACATGCCAGCACCTTGAAGCAGAGGCAGAATTGTCAAAACACATCGCCA